TAGCTATGCTGGTTTATGTGGTATCCTTTATTCTAACATAAATAAAAGCATTAAGGAATATCTTTATCCTCATTTTTTTTTTAAAGAGGGAAGTTGATTCAATGGTCTGGAAAGCTGTTTTAATGGTTTTTGGTGTTTCCTTCTTTCTCATTTCCTCAGAATGCCAGATTAATCTTTATAGAGAAAACTTTTTTTTTTTCCCCAAACAGGTTATTTGCAGAAATGTTCAGCAATCCCCTCAGGAAAAATTCCACACTAGTCATTCTAACAGGACATGCAGATTTATAGCTCCATCCACCCTCTGCAGCTGTTGATCCCCACATTGCTTAGCATACACCCTCTCCCAGAGGCCGCTGTTAGCCTGGTTCAGTCCTTTCTAGTGGTCTTGGAGTTTTTCGCGCTGCCTGAATCCAAATCCTTCCCATTCCTCCAACTAAAATCTTGTCTCTGTGAAAACTTACCAGGCCCCTCCAGGTCATTCCAGCCTCTAACCTCTTACTCTGAACAGATGGTTTATTTGTTGAGTATTGCTGATAAAATCTGAGGCAAGATGAGGTTTAAGCCAGAGAAGGGTTCAGGTCTGAGTGGTTTCTGTCCGTTGGACTATCTTTGTGCCTTCTTGCCATATCTCTCATTTCCTTTCTGTCATTTATTTTTTCAACTTGCTTTTCTTATAGTTTCTTCCCACCACCCCCCTGCCCCGCCCTCTCTTTTAAATGTGAAGACTCATATCCTTAGCATGAATGGACTTGATAGCCAGGCTTTGGAGGAGGGCAACAGACAGATGGCAACTAGAAAACTAAAGCACTGGGAGTGGAACATACCTACTCTTCTCACAATCAAACTGAAATACTGTAAAAATGTCAATGCCACAGTCAATCAAATCAAAAGAGAACTACATTTATAAACAAGACAATTCCCAAAGGGTTGGCATATTACAGGCTGACTTCCCTAGTGGCTCAGAAGGTAAAGAATCCGCCTGCAATGCAGGAGACCAAGGTCCTATCCCTGGGTCGGGAAGATCCCCTGGAGAAGGAAATGGCAACCCACTCCAGTATTCTTGCCTGGAGAATTCCTTGGGCAGAGGAGCCTGACAGGCTGCAGTTCATGAGGTTGCAGAGTCAGATATGACTGAGCGACTAACACTGGCATATTACAACACCCCTAAGAACTAATTTAGTTCATCAGGGAAAACAGTGACTTGGTATAAAATAAAATAATTGGAAAACATGTATAGGATTGAGGACAGGAGGAGAAGGAGGCAACAGAGAATGAGACGGTTGGATGGCATTGGACATGAGTTTGAGTTAACTCTGGGAGACAGTGAAAGACAGGGAAGCCTGGCATGCTGCAGTCCATGGGGTCACCGAGTCAGACACAACTTAGTGTGCCCCAACAAAAACAACAACAATTGAGGTGGGGAGGCAATAAAATATGTAAACTTGGGAGGTAAGAAATTTAGAAACAATAAAGGCTATCTGAAGTACTGCTGGGGGAAATAGCAACAGCCTCAGATATGCAGATGACACCACCCTTCTGGCAGAAAGCAAAGAGGAACTAAAGAGCCTCTAGATGAAGGTTAAAGAGGAGAGTGAAAAAGCTGGCTTGAAACTCAACATTCAAAAAAACTAAGATCATGACATCAGGTCCCATCACTTCATGGCACATAGATGGGGAAACAATGGAAAGAGTGACAGACTTTATTTTTGGGGGGCTCCAAAATCACTGCAGATGGTGACTGCAGCCATGAAATTAAAAGACGACTGCTCCTTGGAAGAAAAGCTATGACCAACCTAGACAGCATATTAAAAAGCAGAGACATTACTTCACCAACAAAGGTCTGTTTAGTCAAAGCTATGGTTTTTCCAGTAGCTGTACAGATATGAGAGTTGGACCATAAAGATAGCTGAGCCCCAAAGAACTGATGCTTTTGAACTGTGGTGTTGGAAAAGACTCTTGAGAATCCCTTGGACTGCAAGCAGATCAAACCAGTTAATCCTAAAGGAAATCAACCCTGAATATTCATTGGAAGGACTGATGCTGAAGCTGAAACCCCAATACTTTGGCCACCTGATGCAAAGAACCAACTCATTAGAAAAGACCCAACTCATTAGAAAAGACCCTGATGCTGGGACAGATTGAAGGCAGGAGGAGAAGGGGGCCACAGAGAATGAGATGTTTGGATGGCATCACTGACTCAATGGACATGAGTCTGAGCAAGCTCCGGGAGATGGTGGAGGAGAAGAAAGCCTGGTGTGCTGCAGTCCATGGGGTCACAAAGAGTCGGACGTGACTGAGCGACTGAACAACAACAATTTTGAAATTAGGAAGGAGTGAGGAAAACAGTGCTTGCTTAAGTCTAGAGAGAAGCAAGTAGATGCCTTCACCTTTTTGCCTAGAAGAAACACCTTTTAAAAAATAAATAAATAAAAGCTAAGACAAAGCCACAAGGTGTTCAGCTATAGTCACACACTGGGTTGAGGGACGTTGTCAAGAACACGTTTTAAAAGGCATATTCAGGGATGTTGTTTCACTAAGGGTCCTATATTTGCAAAACTGTCTTCCTGATCAGCCTGCTAAATCTGAAGGAGAATGCACAGAAACTATGAAGATGTAAAAGAACTCTGGGGCAGGCAGGGGCAGGGGGTGCGGCGGGGATGTGGTGTTAGCCCGCCGAATCCCTTTCCAGCACATCACACAAATCTAAATGATCTAAGATCCTTGAGTTTATTTTGCTGACTCTAGTTTGTCCTCCCATCACTCTCTCAAAATCAACATGAAAAGGGAAGACAGAGGTCTTCCAAGACTCTCTTTACATTCGGTAGTTAGTGGTAACTTATGAGTATGTTTTCAACTTTCTTCTGTTGAGTCATTGACTCCTCCTCCCCACTTGGTTTCCAGGGTCATTGGGCAACCCTTCATAAATCACTGGACTGGATTTGCTTTGTTTGGTCTTGTTCCAGCTTCTTCATTATCTCTTCTGTTGTGTACTACACAGTTTTGTAGACACACTGGATAAAGTGGAGAAACAAAACCAGATTATTCCCAGACTGCTTGCCAGCTGATTTTAAACTATTGCTTGCTGCTGGTACACAAAACAAGGTATAGTGTTTTATTCCTGAGTTTTTAGACTAGAAATGGGAGGGGGGTAGTTAATTTTTGGTTCTGTGAAACATCTTTGTTCTTTCTTTGCCTCAGTTTTTTAATTTGTTTAATAGTGCTGTTCATAATTTTGTTTTCTTCCCTAATTCTCTATAGTGCAAAATGCCTTGGGTATTTTCCCACCATTCTAGTATCATTAAAAGAGGAGCAGGAAGGATATATGTATAACCATTTACAATCATCTAGATCTTGCTTCCAGAATTTCTTGGTCTTCAATTGTAGAGTTTTCAAGAAATCTCTGAAACTATGTCAGTTCACAGAGTCAGCCCCACAGTGCTGATCCCCAGACTAGGGAAACCCAGAGAGTTTAAATAAATCACTGCAAGTCATATGGCTAGCTAGGGTCAGGACGTGGCAGGACTTGAACCTAACTCTTAGTATATTCAACTGAACACATAACTCATTTGTACTCGAATTTCAGGATGCATAAGCAGACTCAAGGTTTGGGCTGGATTTCTACCTTAGTCCAGGATGACTCTTGTAGATATATGATCTGGAAGATTCTGAGATCTTGGTATGATTGCAGGGAATTATGGTCTGATTATGGGCTTCCCAGGTGGCCCTAGTGGTAAAGAACCCACCTGCCAATGCGGGAAGCATAAGAGACCACAACTTCCATCCCTGGATTGGGAAGATCCCCTGGAGGAGAACATGACAACCCATTCCAGTATTCTTGCCTGAAGAATCTCATGGACGGAGGAGACTGGGGGACTGCAGTCCATAGCGTTGCAAAGAGATACGTCTGAAGGGACTTAGCACTCACGCATGGTCTGATTCTGTGGAGAGTCTAAGAGACCTAACTCCCTCCTTGAACAGAACGAAATCCCCAGAACCACATACTCAACCCACTTTCTTCACGGTTGACTCACAGCAGAGCTGACACAGCTGAAACATTCGAGAGTACGCCCACATCTCTGGTTTACTGTGGACAGAGTGGAGTGGAACAAGGACTCAAGATCAACCATTCGTCCAAAGGGTCATCTGTTGACCGTAATTAACTCAGTATCACTGCAGGCCCATATCCTCTCTCGAATTAGTTGTAAGTGAAATCGCTTCAAAACAAAATTTTGCTTTATCCATAATTTTTTCTAATTTTGCAGAAAGCAGCTAAAGACTCATCAGCGAATATGAATCACAAATCAGCCCCGTGTGCATGTGGGTTTTGTCCAAGTCTACACAAGAGGGGAACATTTTGTTTTAGAAATGTGAGATGTATGAAATACAAATCTGCCAAGAACCTTCCTCCGAATTGCTCTGGGACTAGGCAGGGCAGCCTGGGACCTTGCGAGGGCGGCGAGGGGGGAGGGAGAAAACAAGGCAAGTGTGAGTCAGGTAACGCCCTTGGGTGGGGTCCGGGGAAGATAAAGAAGTGAGATCATAAGGATAGAGAGCACTGAACATTTGTGTTCCACTGAGTCGGATCCATAATAAAGTTAGACAGTGGAGGTATGGAGGCCCCCAGACTCCACCGCCTTTAGGTTCTCGGTGGCGGCAACAGGCAGGGAAGGGTCGACCTGGTTCTGCCAGAGGTCAAGGCACGGTTAGGGCGGACCCAGGAAAGTTCACCTGATTTTGCTCAAAAGTTGCAATCCTGTGCGCGGAGGTAAACAGGGTTGGAAGCGAAATCGGAACTGCAAAATCCAGGCCCTCTCCCCAAAGCAGCCCCCCCCCCCCCACGCCTTTCCTTCCCTGCCCGATCCCCTCCTCAGACCCGGGATGAGGGCAGGGGTCGCCGACCCCCGCAATCGGTTGGTCACTGGGGGTGTCAGACTGCGGGACCCCGCCCATACGTCCTCCGGCCCCGCCCCTGGCCCCGCCCACCTCGATCCGCCCGCCCCCGTTGGGGAGAGCCGTCTCCGCCCTCGCCCCCGAGCTGCGAGGCTGCAGGACTGGTGCCGCAGTCGCCGCCTCGGCTACCGCGCAGCTGCCGGTCCACCTCCGCCACCGCTTAGCCGTGTTCGGAGACCGGCCGAGGAGGCTGCCGCCGCCGCCGGGAGACCGCAGCCCGCGCCCCGAGCCCGCCGCCGTCGCCCTCTTAGGGCGCCCCAGGCCGCGCCATGGTGAAGGTGACGTTCAATTCGGCTCTGGCCCAGAAGGAGGCCAAGAAGGACGAGGCCAAGAGCGGCGAGGAGGCGCTCATCATCCCTCCGGACGCCGTTGCCGTGGACTGCAAGGTCCGAGGGCCGGGGCTCGGGGAAGTGGGCCCGCTGGGGCCCCGGGAGAGCTGCGCCAGGCCAGGGCGGCTGTGCGCCCGGGGCTGCGCGGGGCGCGCGCGGGACGGGGGTCCCCGAGAGGACCGAGCGCTCCCTTCTCTCGGGCTGCTCCCCTTTCTTGTCCGGCGCAGCTTCTTTGTAAGAAAGTGCGTCTGCAGAAAGCGGTGCCCGGCGCGGGATCGGGGGCTTGGCGGGCTCCGGGGGAGGAGGATTGGAGAACGGGGCCAAGTGCATGGTGCTGGGTGCAGTCGAGGAATGTGTGTGGGGCCGGGCCGGGGTTCGTTCCACCTGGAGACCGGCAGCGACAAGCAAAACGACAAAACAACAACAAGAGTTTGGCACGTCCTCCCAGTATAAATAATGTCCCTAAGATGGCTGACATCATCATAAGCCTAAACCGCAGTTGCTTCCTTACTTTCGTTTCCAGGCTGAACTGCACTGGGACTAAGTCCGGCTCCTGTAAGCCTCTTCATTTTAAAAGCGTTTTTTAGCCTTTAACCTTCTCTTTCTCCGCGGCCCTTTGGTAGCGGTAGGTGAACTTCGCCGTGGGGTCTGGAGAGGGAGGGAGCGGGCGAGGGGAGAAGGCAAGGTAATGGTCTGCTCAGAGTAGGTTCTGGCTGTTCACTTTATAACCGAAATATTCCTGGTAAAGGTTACTAATTACTATCTGGATGTTAGTGTAAAACCGACAGTTCACTTTTAAATTATATCAGCAACTTTACGAGAACCCCTTAAGCTAAGTGAAACTAAACAAACTTGCCCTGCGTCTCTTTCAAAATTGTCCTTCATCCCTTTTAAAATTGTCCACCGTCCCTTCAAAAACTCTTCTTTATTTTACAAAATCCCCCTTTTAGCCCTAAGCAAAAATCCGGAGAACTATTATCGTGCTACGGTAATACTCATTTAGGATGTGATTGTAATTGTCTCAGAAGTTGAATAAACAGGAAAGGTTCACAACCTTTCTCCCAGATCTTCAGGCTGCAAATATTTAATCCTGTAGAAATTAGTTGTAGAATTATTTATGTTCTGTACCTTTTAATTTTTTTGTTAGCATTTTTGAAGACCTGCTATAAGTAGGATAAACTTAGTTTTAACTTTAAAAAACCCAGTAACTTGTGCAGGTATAAACACTTTTTTAATATATTACTACTACTGGGAAACACAGTGTGAAAAATGTGTGAAAATACAGTGTTAATCTGCACGTGCCTATACTGGGATTTTGGAAATGTTCTAGTTAAAAACACAAATGTCAGGAGTTGATTTTTAAATGACTGTCTTGCCTTGAAATAGGAAGTGGACAGATTCCCTAAAAGGATTAAGCGTTTTGGTATTGGTATTGTTTGCCTGAATCCATTGCAAAGTCTAGGTTTTATGGAAAATGTTTGGAATCCACAGAGGATAATTCCAGCCGTAAATTATTATCTGAGCTCTGTATTTGTCTAACGTTCATTGTACCTAAATTAGATTGATGGTCAAGTACCCTGTCATAACAGACTGAAATACATATATAGAGATTAGGTAGATTTTAATCCTATTACATATCTTTTTTAAAATCCTATGAACAAATACAATTCCTCTCAGTAAAAAAGAGAGGAAGAAAGGATCCGATGATGTCACTTCAGATAGCTTTTCCCAGTTCCTGTTGTGAAGGAGATTTGAAACGCTGGACAAAAATCAGAAATAATTTGCTGGGCAGCTGTAAATCTGATTTTGGACATTTATTGTCAGTTCTGAAATGGTGACTGTTTTCAGATTCTCAGAATTTCTCACAATTTCACCATATTCAAATATTGTGGTCATAGCAGCAGTAAAAAAAAAAAAAAAAAAAGTAACCATTCCTAGCTGTTTTCTCAGATCCCCATATCCAAAGAAAAATACTAGAACTAAGCTGTGAGGGCCTGTCTTCCTTTATAACCACACAGCAGTCATGGATGAACTGGCAGATACAAAATGACTAATTCTTTTTCGAGCTGTGAACTCAAAGACCTCTTAAGTGAGTGACAGAATATTGCTGTACGTTAGGAGAATCATTATAACCCGTCAGTCACTTAACAGTAAATGCAGAGCTCGCTTAGTAACAGGCATTTGCGGACAGTCTCTCAGAGCTGGGACGGTGGTTACATAATGTTCTTTGACTCCTCCGGTGACTGTACCATGACCGCTGAGTCTGACTCCGAATTCTGCACAGAATCAGTCTTCCTGTGTTTGCCTCTGGCATTTCCTTGCCTGGTTGGTCAAGAGGATCCGGTTTAGCTAGTTAGCAAAAACTTCTGAATAAGAATTTTGAGTATCTTTAACTCTCCCAGACCTCGGTGTCCTGAAGGCCATTGTTTCTCCAGTTGTACTCTTAAGGATCACCTGGTATCACCTGGGATTCTGGTTTAAAAATGCAGATTCTTCAGACCTTCTTGCAGTAAAGAATTCTGACCCCTCCAATCGGCTGGCTTATGTAACTCACATTCCAGTACTTTTACACTGCTCCTGTCTTTTGCTATTTCTTCAACTCTTTTCTCTGGAAGCTGTTGCATTGTCCTATCTTTCAGATTTGTCTTTTCAGTAGCTATTAATCCCAGCAGCCACGTCTGTGGATTATATTGTCTCAACTAGCTTGCTGTTTATTATTCTTTCTCTACATTTCCCCCTAGGTTTTATGTAATAGAGGTGAATTTGAAATTATGAATGTTTTATGTGAGAGGCAGCAATTCATTCATGAACTTCTTGTTTTTACTTTGAACTTTGAAACACTGTTTGTTATAAACATGTAAATATCAAAGAAAATACTTAATGTCCTGAGTCAGAAGTCCCAGTTTTGTCAGTACACAACTGCTTGATCTTGGGTTTAAGTTTTTTTTTTTTTTTAAGAGTTCTTTATGTGTAAGATGACAGGGTAGGACCAGATGGTCTGTAGAGGACTCTTCCAGTTTTAAAATTCTGTGAAAATGGCAAGAATTACATAATTATATTTGGCAGGAGTCAGATTGTTTTAACTGTGAAAAATAATAGTTCCCCTCTCACCCTAACTAGACTGTTCCTTTTTTTCCTCCCTTGTTTAGCTTGTTACATGCCTTCCTCTTATTAAGTAGCTGTGGGTCACGGAGAAAGGAGATGGCTAGAGGTATTATGTAATAAGCTAAATTTTCATTTTGGGTTACCTCATTGTAGAACAGTAGCTGTCAATAACTCCTGTTGTCATGCCTGATTATGAAATGCCTTTCCCAGTATCAGGCCTTGAAGAAGCTCAAGTTTTCTTCGTAGATAACCCTGTAAATTGTTTTGCTGATAAATAATGTTGCCTCGTCTCTGCAGTGCATTGTAGTTGTAGACATCCTTAAAAGGAAAAGTGAAATGCTGTGGAGGGGAAAGAAAGGGCAGGATGGAAGCCTAAGTGAAGGACTACTAACCCAGTAAGTTCTGAATCCACCCATCACAAAACGCCTATCTCCCTCCTAATTCTTTTCACTTTCTGGCATTTCTCTCTGCATAAAACAGGACTGGTCATTTAGCTTTTTGGTGATGTTGGTGTTCATTTTATTTTTTGTTTGGGGAGACGTAGAGAGAAGGGAGGAGGAACATAAAATCTGATGCCATATACTAAAATGTTTTGGTCTTTAGAGAAGGGATGGGGAGCTTGGTTCCCTTTAACAAAAGCGCATATCATTACCCCGTTGTATAATTTAGTGTCAGTAAAACATTGGCCAGCAAAAACTTTACAGTCACTGCATTTTAGTTCTTCGTGAGGTTATTGATACCTGAAGTGAGGATTTATTGCTGGGTGATAAATTAATTGTCCCTATGCATACCAGCTGACCTTGGCAGGATCTCGTGTGTACACATGCCTCATTGGGCGGCTGCGGCTCCAGAGGGTGGAAAAAGTGTACGTTGTGCAGCTGGAAACTGCCCCAAGACCCTTTTTGGGGTCTTCGCAGTGTCACCTTAAACATAATCATCTTTGGACTAGATAGAACCGAGTATATTATCCTTGGCAAAATCATAAACCTGTAAGACATTTTGGAATTCAGCTCAGCCATATTAGAGATTTAGGAGAATAGAAGTATTACTTTAACCAGAAATATCTCTCGGAACAAATGGTGTAGGCCTATTTAAATTGACTTAGAATTTAACTTTAAAAATTTTCAATATGTATTGCTAGAGCTTGATGTAAGGTGGGACATTTTATTTCTTATTTGTTCTTTCATACTCTAACTTAAATACCTGGGATGTCTATTTAAAAGGCATTTTTGTTTTTTCACCAAAAGGAAAATGCTTTCTGAATTCATGGCATAACTAAAACTTCTTGAACTCTTTTGTTTATCACAGTGTCAGCAGAGGAAGAGCCAGAAAAAAATTTGTGTCTTTTCAAAATGACATCAGTGAATCCATCCTCTTAAAACTTTTTGGTAAACTTGTCACTTTTTATTAGAGCTTCGACTGAAGGAGTTAAGGACTCTGCCATCAAAGGACTTTTTCAGGCCATAGCTGCTGCCTGTTAAAAATAAAGGATTTGACAGTGCTAAATTTCTGAATGTGGTGGTTTTTGTCAAAATGCTATAGAAAGTACTAACACTGGAGTTATGTTTTCAAGAAGCTTATGTGTAAAGAGTTATTTCCTGTCTTTCCTATTTACTTTGCACGGCTTAACAATGAAAATTTTACAGGGTAGACAACTGAAAGTTGAAAATTAGAAATTTTGTTATAGGTATGACCCTAAGAATATCATTAAAAATAATTCAATTGTGATTTTCCCTTTTAATCAGTGTTTATGATACATATACTTAGTAGCTTTAAATAATCCTATTTTATGTTACCAACAATTGAGCAAAATTGTAAACAACTGAAGTTTTTTTGAACTCTTGAATTGATCAATGGGAAAAAAAGAACTTAATAACTTAATGAAGTATTTCTATAATTCTGTCATCTCGGGGAAAATCAAGTAAAATGAACATAGACTTACGCAGAAGAAT